CGATTCTCTCTTAAATTCTGAGATGGTGCTGCTATGGTGTTCCACGAAATTTAGAGGAAATGTTGTAGTTTTCTCAGAGATGTCAGGTATCAACTTCCCTATCTTAGAGGAATGAGAGGTTCGATGGGACCAAAGAGTTGTCAGACTAGCACAGTGCTCATAATAGGCGGTACTACTACCACTACGCTGCACATAACTAGTGCAAAAAGAAACATCCGATGGATAGGTTTGAGAACTATGCGGTTCTAGAAGTTGGCCAGTAAATGGTAAAATGGCATGCATGAATATGAATATGTCCGTGAAATAACTGTTATAAAACGAGAAATGGTGGAAGAAAAAAGGAATGGATCGACATGAAAATGCTTGACCTATTGCGTCAATTAATCTCTATATGTACTGGCTTTGTCGCGCGTCCGGCGTAGTGGCCGAAGGTTCCCTGCAACACACGTGGGACCGGTCCTCACGCCCATGGCCCATCAAGCCTACCATCCACCTGGGATCGACAAATTGGTACCAGACTTGTCTGTGAGGATAGCAGTACTGGCTCGATAAATCGGTAGGCTGCCGCGAGTCATTGTAAAGGTAGGATATGCATTCAGTCACCATCAATGATGCCTAATGAAGTTGAATGCATGGCGCATCCCTAAGGGTTTGATCAACGCCGAGAGCTTTATCTTTTTTATGTATTGGTTTTAACTATAACATCAAGCGAACATGTGCCTAGTCTTCCTCTAAAACTGAATGGCCGATCAAACCGTGGTGATCATTTTGAATGCACCACATTTCATATTGTTTGCTCTTATGTTAAGATGAAGAAAACGTCGTTGTGCAACATATTTATTACGAGATCGTATCCAACTAACAATGACGGTGAAACATCTCGTCTAAGTGGGTGACGGAATCTCAAAATGTGGGTCATTTAACACCGAAGCCACTCCGCAGAAAAAGATCGATCTTCAGTTTATTCAGCGCTGAAGGCCATCGTACCATTCTTGATATCGTTTGTTGAAGTGATTCAAGAGTTGTGGTCGAGCACCACCGTCGTAGAACGAGTACAAACGCGGGAAATTTCCTTGTATCTGAATAAAATTTTCAACATTAGCAGTTGAGGCAAAAACAACCAAAATGGATGAATTCTTCAGTGTCGGCGAAAAGAAGGTCGGCAACGTTTTGATGTCCGCAGACAATATTCCACTTTTTCAAATTATATTTCGGGAAAATTTATGTGTTGAAAACTGGCCCATTCTCTCCTGTCAAATAACACCAGTCCTTCCACCAATAGTTTCGCGAAGACTTGAAGTTCCTAAGAATGTGGTGAGAGCTAAGCACATGTATTGAAGAGGTGTGCCACAGCATCTACCCCGTGGTGGAAATGTGTGTGGCTTCTAATTCCATGGCTGATCTGAACTTCCCTGAGTTCGATTTCATCGTTCAAACTTTCATTCCGTTTTATTTCTAGCATTTACTCATTTTAAAGTTTTTTCCTTCAGTATTTAATTAGTTTTACTTGTAGCAGTTATAAAAGCGTGTCCACATTGTGAAACTACTATGTGCCTTGCAGAAGAAGGAATATTTGCCTAACAGATTACGAGGAAGCCTGAAGTTTCGAAGAATATTGTTCAGAAATGAGGCTACAATGCACACTTGTCAGCCCTGTGGGTTTTAGGAGAAAGGATGGTGTTATTCTTAACGTTATTGCAAAAGTCTTGGAATACAACCACAACATTGCCGATATATTTGCAAAGCTTCGACCCGAAGGTGTCTATCGTCGGGACCGAACGCGCTATTACCCTTTCTGGGGCTAACGCGTTCACCCCCACACCATGCGGATCCTTTGTTTCGCCTGTCTCTCAGCTAGTTTTATCGATCTCTGCCATCAGCAATCACCCGTCAACGGGATTGGTCTGGTAGCCCCACATCGGCATTGAACCCAGTTAAGCTGAGGCCGTAGTTGAAATCACAATGTTTTACTTTTTATTTTCTGCCTACTACAGCCTTTATGGTAGGGTATCAAGCGAAATACAACCACAACATTGCTGAGAGTCATGAAATGCTTCTCTCATCTGTCCAATTGAGCATCAATGTGGAGCCTGGACTCCAGACAGGCGATATCCAGCATGATTCTTCAAACGAAAACATCGACTTTTCCTGTTTCGACATTTTCGGCGTAATAGTTGAGAGACGGAAAATCACTGGTTTAGAGTAGCTGTTCGACGTATAACGTGCGCAACGATACGTTTTCTCACAAGCCCTACTAAACAAATGTGGAACATTTATCGCCTTGCATCAAGATGTGGAATTCATAAAGAGAGAGACAAATACGATTCCAATGCAGCATACTTCTGCAGAACGTCTGAAAATCTTCGCTGAATAAAAACTACTCATGGTTTCTCTTTCTGAAGTCGCCCTTCGTTGTAGCAAAGGTACATCGTTTTTTTAATCCAGCAGAACATACATCTTTTGCCAAGAACTACTTTACCACTCCGTCACGTTAAGAGTTGACGTCAGGTAGAAAATCCAGAGTGAAAGTTTCTTCTGAGAAGATCACAAATGCAATGGGACCAGGTGTTCTCGCAGTAGAAAACAACTTATGTGGAACGGAAATTCACCACGCACGAAACTTAACAATTCTGCAACAACGATCAAAACGACAAAGAGTAGAAAATGTGGCTGTAGCTATATGCGCCGCATTCCTGACCTTCTAAATGTTCTGGCTAGTATAAACTAGATTGAAACTGCACATATTTCTCATTTACACTCATGTTCTCCCCTGCTATTCAAGGCCTCTTGCTTGCTGACGTCTACCACTTCGTAGCATATTTTGAACGTTAGAGGTTCCTTTTTTGGTATCACTTTGAGCAACTAGCAATTTCATTTATAAAAATGTGCACTGATGTGGTTTTTATAGTTTTCTCGTGTTCACAATGTACCAAGGTACTACGATACAATGAAAGGAGGTCGAAGCACTTTTTTTCCAAAAACGGAGAATTTTTGCAGTAAGGAATAAAATACTTCACCAAGGTAGACTTCAATCATGACAACCAACACGACTTTTGAAAACTCAGTTCTCTCCTCGGTGCTGAGAGTTGAATATTCTCTGTGGCCAGTAGAAATTGAATTAACCACACCAGCTCAAACTAAAAGAGATTTTTGCTTATTCTTTCTCTTTGCCGCAGTTCTCTTGAAGTAATATCGGCAATCATCATACACTTTCACGGCAGTGCTGAGAAAAGCGAAAGTTCACTAGCTAACGAGATATTCATATCCTTGGTAGGTATTGCGAAGTTTCGCTAATTGTACTGCTGATAGAGCTACAGGTAGATTTCTACACAGATTTGGGCTTGTAAGGCGGCAGACAGTTGATGAAAAAGATCTCAAGCAGCGAAGAGCATTGGATTCCGCTAAGTCATGTCACCACAAGACGGTTATGGGAAACATGTAAATAGTTGGCTGAAACTTTTACTATACCAGGCATGATGGCCCTCCGATGTCTAGACATAATAGTCACTGGCTCCTGAGGGAGAATTGAGAATGTTATCTATGACTTCCAGCCTGGTCAATTCGACAAGCATATCAACCTCCTTCCATTCTGGGTGAGGCACTGCTATGCGAACAAGCAGAATTTCGAGATAAATTCAGACTGTCTCATGAAAATAACCACTGAATAATGGAAAAAGTGTCCTACTTTTCTTTCTGAAAATTTTTTTTCTTAATCGGTGAAAAATCGACGAAGCTATTACCATTATTTTTACAGAACATTGTTTATATTTCTATAACCTACAAAGGAAAATCTTTCACTTGTTCGTTTCGATTGTTTCCAGAATCTATGTTGAATAGGGCTTAATATGGGATTCCCATATTAAGCATACTGAGTAAGGTTTGGAACTTTTCTACACAGTGAAACTCAGGTCGACTGCGTTGTCATTGTTAGGACTTGTCATTTACTTCCTAGTAGTTCTTAGTAGTGGGAAGACTAAATGCCGCACGAGGGGATAATGACAACGACGAAGGCCTAGAGAACTGCTTAATACAGAAATATCGGTGTCCTACGAGATTTTACAGCTCAACTTGCAAGTTGCATTTTCACTTTTGGAAAATTCGAGTCTCATGTAGCGTAGTGGCTAGAGGTGCCTTGCAATAGACATGGTCGTCGGTTCGATTCTAGGCATCGACCTCACCAAACCGTCCATCTGTCCAGGGTCAAAAAATTGCTACGAGACTTGTTTGGGAGAATAGCAACACTGGCTTCATACTTTGCGCCTCGGTATATAGGTATATTGCAAAATCCAGATATGCACTTAGTCATCTCAAACGATGCTTGTTGAAATTGAATGCACGGCGTGTGTCTCAAGGGTTGATAAACGCAGAACGCTTTGTCCTTTCAAGTATGTTTTCTAACCGAAGGCTATTAAGTTTGCTTACCAAAATCGGTATTATTTCTCAAGATAAAGCTGTTAAGGCTTTTTTTTATCTAAAGAGCGGTTATATACAATAAATATATGTAAAGCCTGTTAAAAACTTATGCTAACAAAAAAAATTTTACGGGTGTAGATAGAATTCACAGAAAATAGCGTTAGTTCCTGAAGAAAAAGATCGCAATAGAAAACTCCATCTAAGAAGTAGTGTCAAAGTGTACTTTAAAATTGGAAAAACACCATTTGCATAATATTAACTTTTTGTTTGCTACCTATTATTATTGTTCACGGTGGCGTATAATGTGAAATACAACCACTATGGTGCTGAGATATTTGCAAAACTTAGACCCAGGCCAGATCGAACCGCGGTTAACCTTTCCGGCGGTTACGTTCTACGCACTGAATCACTGAGGCCTTTGTTTTGTCTTTTTGAGCCGGTTTTCTATTCAACGTTGCCATCAGCAATCATTTACATAGTCAAAGCTTCTTTAAGTCTCTGCATTTCTGCTGGTTCGACGATCCATTGACGGAAGATCTACGACACCGTATGACTGCATTATTCAGTGCCATTTTTTTTGTCGCAAGTTAATTGAAACGACTGGGTCGACGACGTAAAGAAAAATCACCTGGCGGATGCGCATCGAAGAGCGCCAAAGTGGCGTATTCCGAGAAAACAGAACTTGCTGAAAAATTCAGAATACTTCATTGATTCGAAACACTGACGCAATTCTCCATCTTACCATAGCAAAAGTATAAGTGCAACTTCATTAATTACTTGTAGACGTACCTTGACAACTTTCCCGTTCTCTTCCGCACATGCCTGAACTACCACCAGCAATATGCAGAAAAGTATCGTACGGTTTGAAGTCATACCGTAGATCTACAATAAAAGTTCGGTAAAATAATTAAAATGACTTCCACTAGAAATCATCTCTGGTCTTGTTGCCTTAAAGTGCGATTGGCTACAAATGTTGTCCAAATAGTGGCAAACGAGATATTTCCACTCAATTCAACATGAGGAGAAACAGGAGAAAACTACAATGAGTAGAACCTAATCGACTGAGTGAGACACTATCTTAAAGAAGAAGAAAAATTTAGCGCAAAAGTCAGAATCATGTCGCTCTCCAAACATTTGCGCATATAGGAACGTACTCTTTTCATACATTACACACTTTCCATAGCAATAGTGCACATTGAAATCAACGCGTCCAGGCAAAATATCCTGAACAATGACTTCATTTCCGAGCAAATGTTTCTTTTGCCCCACAAGTTTTTTATGCAGCTTTTGTATTATAACAATAGCATCCCTACCCCGTATGTTATACTCGGCGTTCTCCAACGAAAACTATCATCGATATGGGGCACACGGGTTTTCCCTTGCTATTGTATCGGCGGAGTAAAGCATATAATCTTACTGATAAGTAGGCCACGAAGAGGTCTTCTTCTGCACATATGCAAATGCGTGTGTTCCACAACTATTGGTTGCTTATGGTACAGATAGAGTGACACATAAGACTTTATTATGAAAAGATTATAAGATATCTTTGTTCAGATGGAGCTTTCAGACAATGCGCATTCCATGTATTGAAAAATTAACCATCGTCGCGAATGTGCTGTGAGAATATTAAGATACTGATAGTTGAGCGCTCAAGGAAAAGATTCTTTCATGATGGATTAGTCTGAACTAAACACGAATACGAGAACAGAATGACAGGAGGTTTCTGAGAGCTGACAAAGAGTTATCTATCCCATCACAATTAATCTTTTCAGCAGTGAATGTCCTTCGAAATTGAAGTGCTGCCTCGCTTTTTACTTTTCTGCAAGAAGAAATCGTTTATTCCCTATTCCCAGGACTACTTTACGGAAAAGCGACAGAAATCAGCGTGAGCCGTATACAACCAACAGCGGTTGGTGGAGTAAAAATTTGCAGCTTTCTAGAAACTGTTCATCCTTGCAAAATAACTTTACATATTCCTAATTACCTTCTCTATTTTGTCGTACCTCTGTAGGAATTCTTTCATAGTTTCTTGGCCTAACTTAAGCAGTTGAGGTTTTCGTTCATATCTCACTTCTGTTCCACTTTGTTTTCACTAGTTCCAGAAGTGTTTTACCCGAACTGAACATATAATTTACATGTTTGCGGAGGAATTAATAATTCGATCTTTCAAAGAGCAAATCATACGTGACAAAAAGAAAGCTGGAGGTGTAGTCTGGTAATAACGCTTTGCTCAGGTCTCCTACTACAAAGCGATTTACTGAAAAATCGTTTTCAATTTACGAGTAACCCTGAAATTTCGTTCTTTGAAGTAGACGTTATCAACATGAACAGAAAGAAGAGTCTAGGTTGCATACCTGAAAAAGAAAGTTTCGATAGGATGAATAAGGTAGATTATAAGGCGAAGTAAGTCAAAACTGACAGCGCATTTCAGACAGAATGAACGCGATAAATATGAATGCTTCCTTTGACGTGCCTTGAGAATATGTGAAGCGAACAATTCCTCATTTATGCTAAGCTTGAATGGTTCATATATCATCGCATCGCATACCAATGAAAACCGTACTCTAAAAAAAGCTCTATACCTAATGGAAAAAATGATGAATCCTAATCAGATGATACCAAGATCATCGAGGCAATGATTTAACACTAAACGTTTTGAAAGAGGCTGGCACAACGGTTTGTAACCGATGCCGTCGGATGCTGAAAGGACGACGTTGTAGAGCACAGCACTCACTCACCTCAGTGTATTCAGATGTGCTAGTGTCGCCGTTAAAGAAATTTTCCCCGGAGAAGTAAGTAAATGACAAGCGAATAATCATCTACTCCAGTAGCCATGCTTTTCGCTACATATGAACCGCTAACGGTACATGGATAGAATTTCTATTTTGATACTAAATTTCGTCTTTCAACTGGAGAATAACTATAAGATATCGGCCTAGATAAGATATTTCGGAGATATTCTTTATATGAATGTTTAGCACAAAGCTTCAAGTACTAGATTTTAATACTGTTGGCCAATGGCCGCTTGTAGCGCAATGGGTAAAGCTTCTCTGCGCAGATGCTGGATAGGTAGCTAGTTGGATCCTGCTCGTGTCCAGGGCTAGGCTCACTTAAGCATTCCATCTTTAGAAAATTGGTGCTAATCCTTTCAAGAAAGATAAAAAAGCTGCTGACTTGATGGGATCTGGTGGGTACAACGAGTGATTGGGTGAGGTCTTTCACATATGTAGTTAATCACCTCTTCAAGTGTTGATAATGCCGTATGCATGCATTTCGTTGCCTTCAAAGATTGATGAACTCCGAAAGCTTTATCCTTTTAGAGACGACCTACGTCTATCAACTCATCATTAAATATCAGTATCAACTTAGTGTAGCGGCACTGATATGTTCGTTAGATGCTCCTTTCTCATGATTTTGTTCGTATTTTTTGAGCAAACGCGAGGTGTTATTGTTCTCTGTTCACGATTAAGCTGACGTTTCGGCGAATTTCGCCTTCTTCAGAGCCTGGAAAGGTCAAGTTGATAGCAACCCACTCGGTCAGACGCCTCCATAACCAAACAAAGAAACCCCAAACCAAGATTTCAATCACTTTGAACACAGCTTTGCACATTCACCGCTTTCTATGAGGTCTCCACTAAGTATGTCACGTAGAGACCAACCGCACAGAAATCACGTGGAAGTATAATGTGCCCCTCACATCAGAAAAGCAGTTTTATATACTGCCCTATATCACGCGTGATAATGAGGCATTCTTCCCTGCGGTTCATTTTCGGATTTCTGGAATTAATCCAGAGTGCCTCGAGGGTTTTTCGCGCCTGTGTTCTCGATTCGCGTGCGAGGATCGTGACACATACTTCGAAGTCGTCCCCGTTATGTCTCTGGTTCCCATGCGTGCCTAGCGGGGTATTTGGTCTATTTTTGCCGGCTAGGTGTTCTTTCATGCGGACACAGAGGGGTCTACCCGTTTCGCCAATGTATTCGTCACCACACGTCTTACAGGAGATCAGATAAACTACACCCGAGCTCATGCAATCACCGTCTCTACCACTGGGGCAAATTATGCAATTTTGAGTTGCACATAGACGGTCATATAGGCGGTTACGAACTAGCTGGCGCTTAAGATTACCCGGTGGTATTTCAACTACGCTCACCGAATTCTCTAAGCCCGCCCTTCTTAAGCAGCGTTTTATAGCTGTACTTATATCATTTGAGATGAAGGGTAGGATAAACGGGACCCTTCTATCGCTAGAGTTGCCGTTTGGAGGCCTACGATCCTCGCACGCGAATCGAGAACACAGGCGCGAAAAACCCTCGAGGCACTCTGGATTAATTCCAGAAATCCGAAAATGAACCGCAGGGAAGAATGCCTCATTATCACGCGTGATATAGGGCAGTATATAAAACTGCTTTTCTGATGTGAGGGGCACATTATACTTCCACATGATTTCTGTGCGGTTGGTCTCTACATGACATACTTAGTGGAGACCTCATAGAAAGCGGTGAGTGTGCAAAGCTGTGTTCAAAGTGATTGAAATCTTGGTTTGGAGTTTCTTCGTTTGGTTATGGAGGCGTCTGACCGAGTGGGTTGCTATCAACTTGACCTTTCCAGGCTCTGAAGAAGGCGAAATTCGCCGAAACGTCAGCTTAATCGTGAACAAAGAACAATAACACCTCGCGTTTGCTCAAAAAATACGAACAAAATCACTTGATCAATGCCGAGGTTAATAGAAAGTCGGTCGTGGCAGCTCCTTTCTCATGTTATGAAAAAAAGCAGAAGTGAGTTCAATGTTCTCAAAAGTTTTTTAAAAAAAAACCGATTATGACTCAAATGAATGAGATGTAGCCAAACCTTTACTAAAGTGGAGCAGATACATTGACATGCATGTACTTCATAACTATAATTGTACACCGATCGCTAAGACGCCAGCTAATATGTTGTTCGAAATAAATGGCATTTTTAACTATATAGTTTAAGAATGTCATAACTTGTGTCCAATAAAACGTTATTAGTTGAAATAATAAATATTTCAGATTACACAATTTTGCCAATGAGAAAGAAATTTATTTAGTCCAGTTGGATAGAGCGCGTGTGGCGCAGTGGTCGGAGGCACCCTGCAACACACACGTGGGATCGATTCCCACGCCCTGACTCACAAAGCTTTCCATCCCTCCAGGTTCGGCAAATTGGCACCAGACTTGTCCGGGAGGAAAGCAGCACTGGCTCGATAAATCAGTAGGCTACCGCGAGCCATTGTAAAGGCCAGATATGCATTCAATCACCTCCAAACGATGATTAATCAAGTTGAATGCATTGCGCATCCCTTAGGGATTGCTCAACGCCGAGAGCATTATCCTTCATCCTTTAGTTGAATAAAATTTTGGAGTTCTGCAATTGTCGTCGTAGTTGGTGAAGCATCTCTTGCGCAGCAGGTTGTCACGGTAATTGAAGAAGTGCTAATTTGTAGGCGACAGGTCTGGTGAAAATGGCGGATGAGGCGAAGTTTCGTAGCCCAACTCGTTCAACATCTACGACGCTGCTTCCGCAATGTGAGGCTGAGCTTTGGCATGGAGAAGGATTGGTCCTTTTCTGCTGACTAATTCCGGTTAATGTTGCTGGAGTTTACGGTGTATTTCGTCGATTTATTGGCAATATTTCTCCGCCGTGATCTTTTCGCCAGGGTTCAAAGAGCTGTGGTGAATTACCCCGGGTGCAGATCACCAAACAATTACCATAGCTTTTTTGGTGCAATTTTGGCTTTGGGATGAGCTGTGGAGCGTGATGCAATCCAACTATTGAGCTGAACGCCGCCTGTTGTCGTACAGAATCCTTTCCACGTTGCGCGTTACAACTCGATCAAAAGAAGGTCGTTTTTGATGCGCAGAATAAGAGCAGACGGCACTTCTGAACGGTGGCTTTTTTGATTATCGCTTAGAGCACATTCCTCACCCTTGCAAGGCTATTTGTGGCTGTTTACAAGGAAAGACTATGGAACATATAAAGATCGAAACGGTGAGTGTTTAAGGAAAACTGTTCATTATGCATTTAGTAATTATGTAATAAGTATATTATCTACTAAGGCCATGAAAATTGACTGAGTGAATTGCTTGCCAATTTGACACTTCCAGGCTCTGAAGGTAGCGAAAGCGCCAGAAACGTCACCGTATTGTAGTGAATAAATCTTGGTCATCAATGAAACAAAGAACTATGATTATAAGTTTCTTTGCTAAAAATAGATATAAAATTTATGAAGGAATAAAGACTTTATGAAGGACAACGGTTTCAGATTGTTAATGAAATGAGTTAATTGTGAAATCTCCTGTGAAATTAAGAATTAGTTCGTTTAATTCGAACAGATATTTACAAGGCAATAGCGATGCTATGAAATAGGTTTTCTTCAGTACATGTTTTTGTGTTGTTTAGCAGGCCTTGTGCGCTGAAACTCGGAGCTGATTTATGTGGAAGTTTTGTTCATAAACCTAAATTGCGGTGAGAGTAAAAGTGCGATACTAAACCTGCTGCTCTCGTGTGTTTGTCTCAAGAGACCAAGGGACTGGGCGGATGGAGTCGTTTTTGTGTTTCCCGGATTGAAATATATGATGGCTGTCGTGTATAATAAAGGGTAAAGGGTAAAGCCCTCGACGTCGATCAATCCCTTGGGGTGGGCCATGCTTTCATCTTGATTAAGTATCGCTGGAGGTGGTTGAATTAATATCTGGCCTTTACAATGGCGGTGGCCTACCGATGTATCGAGGCAGTGCTGCTATCCTTTCAGACAAGTCTGGCAAAATTTTGCTGACCCCGAAGAGATGGAGGGCTTAGTGGGCCTGCGGCGTGGCCATCGATCCCATGTGTATTGCAGGGTCTTCTGACCACTGCGCTACACGCACTACGCTGTCGTGCGTAAGTGATCGTATTCCTATGCGTTAACGTGCTTCTCGATACGAAGAATGCGTCATATACGTCGATTCGACAAAAAACCTCTAATAAAGGGCCTAGAAAATACTTGACAAGTACCTTTTCCGACTATTATACACACACGAGGTTGATAAAAAGGGTTTAAAAAAAGAGTTCGGTTAACCTTTCGACGTCTTTTCGTGAGCAGGACTGATTCGAGTCGATGGTCCACAGGTCGTTCTTGCGATGTGGTTGTTCGTTGCCGTACCGGGTCGTACGCTATAGAAGGGGAACGCATGAACGAGGGCTCTCACTCAACAGTGCTCTTTTATACATGACGGATGTTCGTCGATTACCGTAACTCAATATGATTTGCTTTTTGGCTGCTATGCAACCTGCAGCAATCGGTATTTCATTAGCCGTCATATAGCGTGACAATGTAATAAAACCGATTTTAATTAAACCACAGCAAAAACAATCAGTACCTTTTCTATTATTAGGTTGAAACAAGATCAATAAAAAATTGTTCCACTTCATCGGAATGGACTCGACGCAACAACGAACAACCACATCTCAACGACGCCCACTTGTGGTTCATGTAATCCTATCAATCCGGTTCCAATTTTGATGAAGACATCTGACGTTAATCGAATAAATTGTTTTTTGTTAATTTCGTGGTGGTTTAATAGTCAAAAACATTATTGAATGAAATTATTGAAAAATTATCATTTTTAATGGCTACGAAACCGTAGCTCGAGATAGGTGTAGAGGAGACCACAGGCACCCCAACGATAACTCTTGCGACAACAAGGTCCCGTTTATACTGCCCTTCATTTCAAATGAAGTAAGTGCGCCTATAAAACGCTGTTTAAGAAGGGCCAGTCTAGAGAATTCGGTAACGATAATCGAAATACCACCGAGCAATCTAAGGCGCCAGTTAGTTCGTAACCGCCTATACGACCGTCTATGTGCAACGCAAAATTGCATAATTTGCCCTAATGGTAGAGGCGGTGACTTCATGAATTCGGGTACAGTCTATCTAATCTCTTGTAAAGCGTGCGGGGACGAATACGTTGGCGAAACGGGTAGACCACGCTGCATACGTATAAAAGAACATCTAGTCGGCAAACGTAAACCGAACACCCCGATAGGCACGCATAGGACCCAGAGACGTAACGGAGAGGACTTTGAAGTATGTGTCACGATCCTCGAACAGGAATCGAGAACACAAGCGCGCAAAACTCTCGAAGCATCCTGGATTAATTCCAAGAATCCGAAAATGAACCGCAGGGAGGAATGCCTCGTTATCACCCGTGATATTGGACAGTATATAAACCTGTTATTCTGATAGGAGGGGCACATTACGCTTCCATGTGAATTCTGTGCGGTCGGTCTTCACGCGACACACTCAGTGGAAGATGCATAGAAAGCGGTGAGTGTGCAGAGCTATGCTAAATGTGATTGAAATCTTGGTTTAGCGTTTTCTCTGTTTGGTTATGGAGGTGTTTGGCCGAATGGATTGCTGTCAACTCAACTGTCAACCAGGCTCTGAGGAAGGCGAAATCCGCCGAAACGTCAGCTTGTGCGTAAATAAAGAAATAAAATAGCACCTCATGTTTGCTGAACAGAAGTAGAAAGATATAAATAATTATTGAATGTTTTTGCTAAAGTCAAATGAAAGACGGTTTTAAGATATTGTCACGGTAGGAGAATAATTCGGCGTCATCTACAAGGAACGCTGCGTCTTCAGTAGAAGAAAGGAAAAACAGCAGTATACCTGGAACCGGTGGAGTCCGGTCAACTAACTGCTCAGTGAAAACAGTGGAAAAAAGAACCTCGTAAGAAATTCGCGATGGAGTTCGTATTCCTCGTGAAAGCGGAAAATACCCAACCGCGAGAGTGGTGCACAACAGGGGCCATGGCGACATCATTGTACTTCGCCCCAGTCGGTTGACAATTAGCTGGATTGCAGGTAGTAAAACTGTGCTAACTACTGAGTGATGTTCAAATGAGTACAAGTAGAAAGAAAGCAAGGCTTATTAACAGCGTGAATGAGGGGATATTGAAATCATTTCCGAGAGACATGAATTCAAATGTTAACGATGGATGCACAGGAGATGAACTTCGACCAAAAAATGTGGAAGTAGAGAGAAGAGATGGATTGACAAATGAGTTACCACCCCATTTCCAGTTTTAAGGCTGTGTAACTACAGAATTAGGCTGCTGTTGTTGGCTACTTCACGAAATTCACTTTTTTCATCTATTCTTGAGTAAGAGAAACTGTTTACTATGCGATTGAAAACTTACGTAGCAATCGGCATTAAACCACTATGATGCTAAGATATTTGCAAAACTTGGAACACTGGCCAGATTCGAGCCTGCAATTGTCATTTGCATGGGCTCACGTGTTTCCCACCGCACCACTAAGGCACTTGCTCTGTCTTTTGCTCGGCCAGTTGTTTACCTAGTTCGCAAGTAAAAAATAGTGAGAAATAACAAATAATAAAAAATGATGAACGAATTAATAAAAATACAAATAAATCAATACACACTTTTTCCATTGAGAAGCTAACACGAGATTGACAAAGGTATTGAAAGAATGTCGTTTTCCGAAAAAATTTTACGTGTTAAGTTTTATTTTGTGATGGTATTACGAATTTGCCTAAGTGGAGTGCGGATCAATTTCACCTCTCCTGGAAATGAAGGAAGCGAAACAGCCGAAACGTCATCTATTGTGGATGAATAAATACTATAATAAAAACATAGTGCTTGCTCATCAAGAAAAGCAGTGAATTATTCCCGAATGTGATATGATATGCATCGGAGGTAACAGAGTGCTGCAAAAAAGCGACACGCTTGTTCACACGGTGACCGAGATTTCTTCCGTAAACATCCACACCATCTAAAGCTAAAGCGTTTGGCGACCACTAATCCGTTCAGGTACGACCTGCATTCGGCTACACTTAAAATTGTAGAGGTGATTGAATGTATGCTTAAGCTAAACAAGAAACCTAAAAGCCCATCGATGCATCATCATAACGTCTTTATCTTTCCATATAAATCTAGCAGAAATTTTCCCACTTAAGACGAAAAGGTTTGCAAGCTCGTGCCGCGGTAGAGTACCAAAGAGAACTTGTATATTGCAAGACGTCATAAACCACTGCGCCTGGAGCCTCTTCGTCTACGTGGTAGGCTAATTTAATCCTAAGCTCGTATGAAGTGCTGAGATATTTGCAAAACTCCGGACCACAGGTGTATGCAGTGGGGAACGAACACGCGCTGTTGTCCTTACCGGGGAGCAGCGCACTTCACCACTACACCATCCGGGTCCTTCGCTTTCCATGTATCTCAGCTAGT